TATCTCTTTGGATTTGAGACTTTAGTCTTTGTAACTTTACAGATCTTCTTTATGCACCAAGAGCTTGTAACACTCCGAAGAGAAAGGAACAATTGAAATCGCATCATATGACTCCCTTTAATTAACATATTCTACAATCAGTCATTAGCAGGGTCCAAAATGAACAACATCTGCTAATGGTAGGTGAATGTACTAGGCTTAAATACAGTTATGTGTGTAATCTGCATTTTAAAGACACACTTTTGTGATTATGGCAATTCAATTATTTAGCTGTGAAACAGTCGTGATTTTTGGAGGTGCCTTTTAGTGGCATTACTACCACAGAAATTAAATTTCACATTTAAGCAATGCACTTTTGCAGTTCTTAAAAATAGTAGCCTGTTGATCAGCCTGTTTTTAATTCTGTGAATTACATTTTTTCCCCCTTATATTTGGTGCTTTATGAGAGTTAAAGTTGGACTCTGGCAACCAGTGTGTAGTGCAAATGGGGTCACTCAGTTTGCTCGGTTTACTGTACATAAATATTGCATTGGTTTTGTGTGTGCGTATGTAGGAGGAGTGTCATGTCATCCAGTTAAATGAAAAACAAGAAATCACAAACACAGTCTCACACACACACCTAAATCATTCCTAAGACCTTGTTACAGGCCATTTGCTATGTAATAGATCTGACTATCATAATTATACTTATCATACCCTTCAAGAGCTGCTTTCAGTTCCATGAATAACAGCATTGACAGCCTCTCTCATCGCCTGCCTCTCCTGCTCACAGCTGTTTCTTTCCCTGATGTACCTTGTCACATTTCATGCGTTCATCCAACACTGTTTCAGTCTTTACTTTGACCAGTGGCCATTGTTGTGTCTTACCTCTTGGCGCGCGCCAGCGCTTGGGCTAGTGTTACCTGTTCTTCAGTGATCACTCCTGGGGCTTTTGTCAGGAGGCAAAGCTATTATGACTGGAGATAAAACAAGTCACAGAGTTGATCTTTGTGCAGTTTGTGAATTTGAAAAGAGGTAATGCAGTGCTATCCTAATTTTAACTATGTTTGACTCACTAGTGAAATCAAAATTTGAGTTTTTAGCTAATTTCTTAGCTTTGAGGCTATGCTAATAGCTCCTAAGAGTTGACAGCAATAAACTTTTATTAGATGTACTACACATTATATACTGCCTGCCTCTGACTAGCTTTAGCATTTAGCAAGTATGTATACAAATGCTATATAATTAAAAGGGGATGAGTACTTTCCTATGTTCCGGCCCAACTTCCTGTTTCAACAGGAAATACATCAACACAACCCTTAAAAAAAGAAGTACACTTTAGCATACTTTTAAAAAGAGTACTTAATATGGAAATAACACACTTAAGCGTGAACTGAATGTAACATGTTCAGACACTTAACTGCATGTTATTTAGTATTAAAATGTATTATTGTTTAAATTTATATTAAGTGCAATTAACTGAACTTAAGAGTTTTTTTTAACAAGAGTGCTAAATTTGCAATTTAGTACTTCCAAAATGTATGAACTTTAATTGTAATATCAAATATTACACTAGAGTTAAGTACTTTAGATGTGCTTTAGTATGTTAGTCAACACATCAAAACAAGTGTACTTCTGGAAAGCATGACGAAAGATTATAATGATTTGAAATGTACTTTAAAGTAAAATGTGTGACATTTAATGTGTCACTTATTAAAGTGTGTTAAAACAGTAAAGTGAACTCCCTTTAAGTACACTTTAATAGCATTTATTTCATCAATATTACATTGCCTGCAAGTACATTTAAAAAAATATATATAATTAAAATAACAATAATTTAAATAAAAATTAAAAATATATTTTAAATATTTGAAGTACACAACAAGTGCACATTTCATACAGTTAAGCCCATTCTTTTTCACAAGAGAAGTAAGAAAACTGTGGTAGTTAAATTATTTCATACTCTTTAGACACATCCAAATCTTCATTTTACACTGAAAAAAGAGATGGGCTGTGCTCAAAATCGCCCCGATACCCTTATATAGTGCAGTATTTGAGGGGGCAGACAATTGTAGAGGTGTCCGAAACCATAGTGGACATTATCAAGTGCACACAACAATGAACTGCTGTACACTATAAGCGGCTAGCTCCTTAAGCACTATATCCTGTGAGCATCTCACTGAATGAATTCATCATGGACATGCGTTTTTATTCATATATTAGTGGAGTAATGTATGTGGAATAGTGAATGAGGGTATAGTGGGTGATTAAACAGCCAAGCAACAATGTGAGACAAACAAGGAAGCATGGCTATGATCTGTCTCTGATGAAAGAAAAAAAAGAAGAGCTGGTCAGGTTACAGTGAAAGTCAAGACTGTTATTGCTGGTATCTTATATAACAGTGAATGAGGAAAAGGGGTTTTCAGAGAGGTGGGGGACCTCAAAGACCTGACTGCCAGATAACTTCTCGACACACTTTCTGACTACAATACCAGCAGACTAATGTAAAACACTGGTGTGATTTAAAAACGTGAATGCAGGTTATTGGAAAAATGCTAAGTCACAATTTTAAAGGCATCTTTTAATTGCATCTGTATCTATATTGCTCATTTTAATGTTTATTTATAAGATTAGGACAGTCATGCCACAATTAAATTGTTTTAGTTAATGTGTAAATCCATAACTAGTCATTTGTGATAACACACTCCAACAAGATAATGCCAATATCTTTTAATTGAACTACTTTTCACATTATTCATTTTAATAGGTTTCTGTATATTGCAGTTCATATTGAGAACAGTCACACTGCAGGATGATTTCCATATTTTACTTTTTGAATAATTTTATGCTCACAGGCAAAGTCTTTGCTCTCCTGCCAAATTATGAAAATCTAAAAGAAAAAAATGCATTTATATCAGTAAAGGAACATGTCATGTCTAACATGAAAGAACAAAATTACTATTTCAGCTAAGAAATGCAAGTCTGTAATGCTAATTATTGAAACAAGTTCTGAAGTGACCACAGCAGCCTGAGCTTCATTTCACTGTGATTTGCATTTTAGGTCAAACACTGCAACGATTACACAATGCATAATTTTAATACATACAGTACACAATTATTACCACATTAAATGGCTTTATGTTCTCACTTATTTACAGTCATACATTTACAACCAAATATGATCAGTTGTCAGGCTAAGCACATGGTTTTCAAGTTCCTGAAGATTCCTTATTAATATTTTGAAGGCTTTGAATATTCTCATTAGATTCTAATTATAGAATAAAAGGATTTGTTTAAATGTACAGTTTATTCTCTAGCACAACCACCACAACGTTCAGTTAGAAGAACCATCATTATAGAGGCAAAATGTGCAAATAAATGTCAGATTAACAATGACACCTATTAAAAGAACAAGAACACACTACTTCTTCATACTAAAATGATGTAACTCCAGGTAAATATAAAATAGCAGCAGTTAAAACATCAAAAACACAATGAAAATATGTGTTTATATCCAGTTTGTCTTGGGGAACAGCTCACCAAGATTCACAAGAGTTTGCAAAACAACTTATATAATACAGTGAGAATCCCTGATTCTCTCTCCAACAAAATGCTATATATTTTCACTTATTTAGCTAAATAATAAAAAATAAAAGAATGAATGTCTTTATCTTGTTTCAGGATGTTTTTCTCAAAGAAAATTCTTAATTTCTCTAACCTTCTCTGGGTAACTGTTGAATCTGAGAAAGAGAACAAGACTTGGAAGTCTTGTTAGGTCTATGAATATACATTTAATTCGAATCAAGACAACATTCCCCATTAATACAAGGGAATTCCACTCAATATAAAACCTGTATGACAGCATGCCTGCCACAGGTTCAACGCATCTGAGTGAAAGGCACTGTTAAGCTCATAGAAATTAATATGGACTGTAAGTGGAAAACTCTGAATGCATTTCTCCTCTTCATTGGCTGAGCTTCCTCTAAAGTGCCACAACAAACCATAATGATTATCATTTCAAATGCAAAATGATACATTTATGAAATGCATTACTTAAATTGGAATTATATTAGAAAAACATGCATAGAGACAATGGTGTTAGAGATAAATGTTAAAAGTGTCATTTTGCGGGTTACCCAAAATTGTAGTTTGCTGGTGGAAGCATTGAGCCACCCAAACACACTTGATAACAGTGCAATTGTCATTTAATTTTCAGAGTGATTCTGTAATTTTTAACTGCACATAGTGGACCTGATGTGGTAGGTTTATGAGATTATGAGAAGGTTTAGTTTTATTTAATAAAATGATTATGCAACACAGATGGATTTCTAACGTGCAATTTAAATTAGATAATCTGTAATATCATTCAAGTTAGGTAGCATTTATAATAATCTGTTCCCAAGAATTGAAAAAAAAAAAAAAAAAGCAGAAACGCTGAAGCACTAAAAATGAAACATTATTGGCTGAATCTCACAAAACCTGTGAAGAACATTCATTTATTCATCTTGGAAGTATTTGTTGTAAAGCATTTAAAGTGCCCCTAATATGCCATTTTGAATATTGCCTTTCATGCAGTGTGTAATGTAGCTGTCTGTGAATATAAAATATCTGCAAAGTTGTGAAGCCGACAGTGCACGGTAAATAAAGTTATTGTCTCTCAAAAAAAAAAAAATCACCTAAACGAGTCATCAGGAATTCGAATCCCACTTCTATGATGGCAACACGTCACGGGGTAACACATTTGCATAATGCTGGCCTATGTTCTACGTTGGGCGTTTTCACCTTCGCTTGGCATTCTGATACAGTTCCCACACGTACACCTAAATAAATTATAACAATGACTCTGCTATCACGTCTTATAACTACCACAAACTTAAGTTGACACTTACCACTGAGAAACATCCTGCTCCAGTCGTGCTTGCGAATCAGCATCTGGTTGATCAACTAGACGTTTCATCATTGGACTCAGGCTTGAATTTATAAGGTAAAATTGAAACCATCTTTTCTCTCCATACATTCTCTATGGAGCTGTCATTCAGTTATGGCAATTGGCGCTTTGTTTCCGACATGCGCTGTATGCGGTAGACCAATAACAAAAGATTGGGTCATCTGACCAATCAGAGAAGAGTAGGCTCACGGAAAGGAGGGGTTTAGAGAACCTGTTTCTTCGAACTGCTTCGTACGAATCGTTTACGAATCATTGAGAAATGCAGTGAAATTAAATGTATATTATGAGAAAATGAAAGTGTTTTTTGACCTTGCATGCATGTAAACCTGTTGCAGGAACCTCCCAAAACAATATTAGGAACTTTAAAAATGGCATAATAGGGGCACTTTAAACGATAATGATAAATACAATACTACATTAATGGGAATCTAATGAAAATCGCCATTGAGAATAATAACAGTTACAAAATAATTAAGGTAAAACATCCAGATGCATTACTGAGAACTGGAATGATAATGTGTTTATTTGTTACGATAAAACTTGCAGTGATACTAAAATAGACTATTTTCTTTATGCAAAATATAATCTCTTGATTTTGTTGTGAAATATGACCTGAATATGTTTAATGAGATTCACACTCCATTTGCCTTGTTCAGAGAAGAACTACTTCCATGTTTTGTATTGTTCCCTGACTTTAAATCTTGTTCGGATGTCTCAGCAATGGGCTGCTTTTCCTCCTGATCTCTCTCTCTATGGTAAAAGTAGTTGAAATTGGAGACTATTACAGGCACAGGCAGGGCGATGGTCAATACCCCAGCAATGGCACATAGAGTGCCCACCATCTTACCGCCTAGTGTAATAGGATACATGTCTCCATATCCCACAGTGGTCATGGTAACTACTGCCCACCAGAATCCATCAGGGATGCTAACAAATTGGGTGTTGGGATCATCCACCTCAGCGAAATAGATGGCGCTGGAGAAGAGGATGACGCCTATGAAGAGAAAGAAGATGAGCAGGCCAAGTTCCCTCATGCTGGCCTTGAGCGTCTGGCCCAGGATCTGCAGCCCTTTGGAGTGTCTGGAGAGTTTAAAGATCCTGAAGACTCGGACCAGTCTAATGATTCGCAGGATGGCCAGGGACATATTCTGCCCCGTGTTGGACTTATTGGTGGTGGTCACGATCTCAGTTATCAAAGTGACGAAATAGGGAATAATGGAGATAATGTCAATCATGTTCATGATGTTGTTAAAAAATTCCCGCTTGCTGGGGCAAACCAGGAAACGCACGCAGAACTCGAAGAAGAACCAGATGATGCATGCAGTCTCAAGAATGAAGAAGGGGTCGGAGAAGGTGCTGGTGATGGTTTTGGGAGAGGCACTTGGAGGAGCACCTGAAGGATGCGTCTGGTTGAAGGAAACACCCGCAATCGGAAAAATCTCCAGGTCCTCATGGAATTCTGGGAGAGTCTCTATACAGAATATGATGATGGAGATGACGATGACGAGGATGGAAACGAGCGCGACCCCTCGGGCTGCGTTTGAGCTCTCGGGATATTCAAAAAGCAGCCAGAACTGCCTGTAAAACTCATTGGGCGGCAGTGGAGTCGCCACATCTTTGATAAAGCCTTCCTCCTCGCGGAACTGGTCCATGGCTTCCTGTCCTAACTCGTAGAAGATAATCTCATCCGCGAAGACATCTATAGGTACGTTCGCAGGACGCCGGACCTTCCCCCCTGACTGATAGTAGTACAGGATCCCATCAAAGCTCGGACGATTGCGGTCAAAGAAATACTCGTTTCTCATGGGGTCAAAATAGCCCATTCTTTTCATTGGGTTGCCCAGAAGGGTGTCTGGGAACTGGTCGAGGGTCCTCAGACGGGTTTCGAAGCGAAGACCGGCGATGTTAATGATAATCTTTTGATCGCCTTCATCAAGAGGTCGCTTATCAATAAAAAAGTCCTCGTATTCTTTGGCCAGTTTACTGAAGATTGTCTCACTTTGTGATCCTTCACTGTTCACAAGTAACTTCCAGTTGGAAATCAGACTAGCGCAGCTGGCACGACCTCTCCTCGTGTGAGGGGGTAGAACAGGCGATTGCGGTTTGTCCAGATTTTGTGGGGTCTTCTCTTTATATGGCAACACTTTTGCAGAATTGCAGTAGGTGCTGCCAGGTCCAAACTCTGGGATTTCTACCCTCAAAGCCGTCATCTCATTGGGATAGTCTGGGTCATTGAAATTGTCCACACCGTTAGTATTCTCCATACCCTCAAAGTCAACTAGCGCCACCTCTATCCTTCCAGCCTGGACAGTCATGTGGCTCCAGATATCAGACAGCCACCAAATTCAACCAGAACAAACCCACTGGTTCAATATTTCAAATTCTCTTCGGCATTTGATTTTGAGGTGGAGGTCAACACAATGAGGAAGAATCAAAGGTGCGTGACCTGCAAAACAAAGAAGAAGAGTTTGAATCTATTTTTGACCAATAAAACTCCAGTAAATGCTGTTTGACAAGCACATTGTTTCTTGGTTACTGGCCTGGGTGAAGCACTAAGGAGAGCAGCTGGCAAAGGTGACATATTTTGGTAGGTGTCAGCATCACAATACTTCCAAAAATGTCAGTCGACGCTGGGTTATTTTTGTTTTCGCTGTGAATCGCTTTTAAACTGCAAATGTGGGAGTGATGGCATATTTCAAACGTCTATAATAGTCCATGAAGGAAATAGTAATAAGTATCATCCTCTTTCAGACTGATATGTTATCTCTTGTTTACAATAATATATAATCAAATTGAATATGATATCATGCATGTGAATCTTACGCATCTCACAATATGTCAAGGTCATATTTTACCCCCTCTTATTAACAGTTAGTAAGGTAGTTGTTAAGCTTAGGTATGTTGTAGAATTAAGGGATCTAAAATATGGTCATGCAGAATAAGGCATAAATATGTGCTTTATAAGTACTAATAAACAGCCAATATGCTGGTAATATGCATGCTAATAAGCAACTAGTTAATAGTGAGAATTGGTCCCTAAACTAAAGTGTAACCAGAGGGCTTAATTATCATGAAAGTATGTGTCTGAAAATGAAAGAAAGCAGGGAATTACAATGTTACAATTACCATTTTCTTTTTATTTTAGGATAAAATGTGACCTGGACACCCATTCACATGAACACACAAATGCTTTAAGAATTTCATTTAAATACTTTTGCAAAGCTTAATTGCTTTCCCATTTCCCTTCGCTGTCAGAAACTCAAGTTTCGTACATGTGAACAGACATTTGGATGGGTTCCCTGCTGTTCTTAATGTGACACAGACGTTTCCAGTATCTATGGTGACACACCTCTGACATAACAGTCGGCTGGACATCACCTCAGCTAAAGTGTAACCCCTGTCAAACACTTGACACCAGAGTCCTGGCCTGTGAGGCAGTGTTGGAGAATAAGAGAGTTGCTGGAAGAGAAGTCGAGAGATAGTAGCAGAGGGAAGGAAGCAGAGAGAGAAAGATAAACTGCTGGCCCAGTAAAGGCCAAGACAGTGGGGAAAACAATCGGCCCTCATCTAATTCACTTACTATTCCACTGACCTGCACTGGGTTCAGAGGATATGTTGCAGTGCTATCAGCCAAGCTGTACTACAAGTCATTAGCAACAGCACTGTAGAGCCAAAAAGTAATATTTTTTCTCCCCATAGTTTTAAGCCTGAAAACCTAAAACATTTAAATGAAATTTCGAATAAATACAAAGCAGCATATCAGGAAATAAATTAATATTAGTACACTATTATTACTACACTATTATTATTATTGCTCAAATTAACTTTCATATCTTTTCAAAACCCCTTAGCCTAAGTATTAACATTCAGTGCATAACTCGTCCCACACGTTTGTATTACCGATGTGAACGCTACCTCGGATCTACTATTGTGCTTGTAAATTTTTACCATAAGTGACTTTCGGGTCCAAAATTCCATAGACAACATTGAATGAGAGAATCGGAGGTCAATCTAGAGACCAGAATATCAGGGATGAGCTCAGAAACTTGCAATTGGCTCTTTTAGAGAGTTGGACTTGTAACCCAAAGGTCACGGGTTTGAGTCTTGGTACCGGCAGGGATTGTAGGTGGGAGAATGAATGTACAGTCCTTTCTTTCACCTTCAATACCACAACTGAGGGGAGAACCTTGAGCAAGGCACCGAACCCAACTGCTCCCCGGATGCCGCAACAAAAATTGCTGCCTACTGCTCCGGGTGTGTGGCGTGCGTGTGAGCACAAATTCCGAGTATGGGACACCATACTTGGCTACACATCACGTCAATAAATCGAATAACCACCTAGTAATCATCCTGAACACCCTAGAAATATACTTATATATACTTAAAACCGCTTTAAACACATTAGCTACCACTGAGCAATGCGCTAAAAATAATTTAAATAATAATAACAGATTTAAGAATGTTCATTTTCAAAATAAACATTTTAAAAAATAAAAATTATTTTATTTCATGCATTTACAGGTACTAGATATTTCTAAATGTGCTACATTATCAGGCTAAATCTCAAATAGGAGCATGGCTGAGTGGTTGAGAGTCACAGACAGATGTTTAATTAAAGATGCCAAAAATGAGTCATCCTGCTCAGCTGCCACTGACCAGAAAACAGAGAGCATGTGCGTCACTGAGAGAGAGAGAGAGAGAGAGAGAGAGAGAGAAAGAGACTGTCATTATACAAGGGAAACAAATTACAAAACTGATTAAAGAACGGAAGACATATTTAGAAAAACATATATAAAGCACAAGCATAGAATATAGAAGAAGAGACAAGGAATCTCACATGATCAGAGATTTTCAAGGTCACTCAACCTCACTGATATAATGAATGATAAACTGAAAAAAAAAAAATAAAACATTGACAATCAGCTATTCTGGTTGGGCAATTTAATTTAATGTTTATCACTGTATAGTTTTCCTCAGTTTACTATATGGATCTTTGGAAATTGAAAAATGTTTCATTTTAGTTCTTCAGATTAGAAAAGCTCTTCTTTAAAACACCGGCACATTTATTTGAAAGAAATGGGAATGTAAATGGTTCTTTTAAGCCATCAGGCTTTAAAACTGGTTTCAGTTCTAGCTGGAATTTTTCTTGAGTTTTATGTCAGTTTAAACCATGGACAAATAATCAGTTTTCAATTAGTTTTCAATTCAACCTACCAGAAAAGCATTCAGGCCAATAATTAAGGTAATATTTTATCTTGCCAGTCCACTTTAGACAGTCTGATGTTAAGTAGTTTTGCAACTGCATGTCGACTAGCAGTCATTAGAGTATTAGTAGACTGCCTGCTTAATATCTACTAACACTTTATTTTGATGATCCACCGAAAGAGATTCTGCTTATTATAATTAACTTTGCATTTACATGTCAACTTATTCTACTAACCCTAATCCTACTGTAACAGTTTGCTAATACTCTATGAGAGTTAGTTGACATGTAGTTGCAAAGTTACTTATAGATAGTAGAATGTCTAAAGCGGACTATCAAAATAAAGTGTAACCCTGAATAATTCTAAACACAGTAGTCTGACAAATTAATAGTGCACACTTCAACACTTATGATAGCAGAGCATATTAAATGCATCATTTACGCTTATAAAACATTGAAATTACAGATAATTCAGCACATAACTATTCTAATAAACATTTATGTCACTTCCTCCCAAAACACGCACAACAGGATGTTGCCTAATACTCATATATTTAACTGAACTCATGCGCGCACACACACACACACACACACAGAGATACAGGCCTACCTCTCGTGAGAGAGGGGTCTCCTGTCGGGCTGTTGTTTCTGCCTGTTGCTTGTTCTACATTTGGGTTCAGAGTGGCTTAATCTATTAAAGTCGGCATTGGGTAACCTTATGCTGGTGAGAAACTAGAGCTGACGCTACGCAAACAACTACGTACACACATACGCAAACACACACACACTCAAACATTTGTGTGCATACACATTCAGACACATACAAAGAACTACAAAAATAATCACAAATACAAGATACAGAAGACTTAGCCATCAGTCAATAGTAAAACAAAGTCTGATTTTAAAGTTATTAAAGTTTAATAGAGGTCCATATAAGCACTGCTGTAACCAATCTACCCTCAGCGGCTCACCTTCTCACCTTTAGCAGGGAGAGACGTCTCATCGCTCATGTAAAACAGCTGTTAAGTGTCATATGATAGATTTTATATTCATCACCACATGTCGGATATGCCCAACTGGTGGCAGTCCAGACACATTTGATGAGCGTAGATCTACCAAGCCTGAATATATCTGACAAGTGCCTTACCTCATCCAGCGTCAATACACACCAGAGCGATCGGTTACATACCACATCAATCCTGAGAGCGCTTATTTACAGATCACTACACCTCATCGACTCACCGATTCATCCTCCACACTTACAGATATCCACTCCATCATCAACACGCAGTTGGCGGTCACTGAAATGACAGAAGAATATTGGCAATTTATCTGTGGATTTGAGGAGCTGATTTTTGGCTTGGATAAGATTACACACAGTTTGTACTGTTGTGAAAAGTGCTGCAGATGTTACGTTTTATTATCTATCTATCTATCTATCTATCTATCTATCTATCTATCTATCTATCTATCAATTTGTCTTATCAATAGATTGATCAATCAATCAGTCAATCCATCCATCCGTCCATCCATCCATCCATCCATCTAGCTATCTATCTGGCTGTCTTATCAGTCAGTCAATATCTATCTTTCTATCTATCTATCTATCTATCTATCTATCTATTTGTCCTTTCAATCAATCAATCAATCAATCAATCTATCAATCTATCAATCAGTCAATCAATATATCTATCTATCTATCTATCTATCTATCTATCTATCTATCTATTTGTCCTTTCAATCAATCAATCAATCAATCAATCTATCAATCTATCAATCAGTCAATCAATATATCTATCTATCTATCTATCTATCTATCTATCTATCTATCCATTTGTCCTTTCAATCAATCAATCAATTAATCTATCAGTCTATCAATCAATCAATCAATCAATCTATCTATCTATCTATCCATTTGTCCTTTCAATCAATCAATCAATTAATCTATCTATCTATCTATCTATCTGTCTGTCTGTCTGTCTGTCCGTCCGTCCGTCCGTCCGTCCGTCCGTCCGCCCGCCCATCCATCCATCCATCCATCCATCCATCCATCCATCCATCTATCTCTGTCTGTCTGTCTGTCTGTCTGCCGTCCATCTGTCTATCTATCTATAGAACAACACAAAACACATGAGCAACTATCTAGCAACCCCCCAAAACCATTCAGAACACCCTGGCAAAACCATTGCACCCAGAATGCTCTCTTTAAAGTGCCTAAGCATTCAAATTACATACTGTAATGCATATA